AACCGATTCATTGTCAGACCGGTTTTGTGAGGTAACCGGACCGGACAGGCCACCGATTCACGATTCAACCGGTTGAACCGGCCAATCCGGTCCGATTTTGATAACCATGCTTTTATGCTATTAGTTTTCAAATTTCATAAATCTTTCTCAGCTCATTTCATATCATAATCACTTCTGAAGCATGGAAAATGCAAAGTATGGTTGAAATAATAATATATTATTTTTGGAATAAAAAGAATATAAATTAAATTTTTCAAAATGCTGAGCGTAGAAAGTAAGTATTTTGGAAAAGAAAATCCTGATTTATTCTCCTTAATTCTAATAATAAATGGTATAGAAAGCCGTCTATTTATAGGCTGAGTACATAGGTAAAGTACATAGAGGCTTACTAGAACCAAAACACATCGTTATATTTACTTTAGATAAGTCTATCTATATTTTAAAGGGTAAACTACGTCAATAGTCACTGATGTTTGGGTAAGTTTTTGTTTTCACTACTAATATTTCAAAAGTTACAAATAGGTCACTAACGTTATTGTTTGTGACAAAACGGTCACTAACCGTTAACAGCCGTTAAGAGGCGTGACGAAAAATATAGCTGGACCATTTTCTACTGACGTGGATCGTTGACCGCCATTTTGACTGGCTCTTCTTCTTCTTCTTCAACCCATTCCCATCTTTTTCTTCACTTTTCTTCTTCTTTCTTTCTCTTCACTTTTCTTCACTTTCTTTCTCTTCACTTTTCTTCACGTATCTGAATTCTAAGGCCTTGTGTTACGGTTCAGGGAACATTTGTAAGCAATGTGAGGCTGAGCTCCCACTTGCACTACCATTGACCCCATTGCTACCAGAATTTCCGTCACGAAAAATGAAGCCATTTTTACCACCAAGAAAGAGCATTAGCAAGCTTTCCTTGGCTTTTTTTATAGTTTGATCAATCGGAGCTTTTGCAGGGGTTTGCATTGTTTTTTACTACTTATGGGCCGGAATGTGTGGGTTCTTGCTTCGCAAGACACAAAACTCCGTGCAACCCACGATTACATATGCCAATATAATTACGATCGTTGTGGACAATAATGACACCATTGCCCCAACCGTAAGATCATTTTCCATCAGACGCAACAGCTCACGAAGATTAGGTAGTGAAAGAAGTGGATCATCATCATCAAAATGTGCAGACAAAACCCAGTATTTTACGCTCTTAGAGCTTGTTGATGCCACCACCAACTTCTCAATGGAAAACAAGATTGTTGCCGGAAGCTTCGGGGTTGTTTACAAAGGCAAACTTCCAGACGGTCGCAGAGTCTCCATTAAAAGATGGAGCCCTTTAGCAAAGGTAAAGAAGTTCCAAGAGAAGGAAACCGCTTTTGAATCAGAATTAACATTGTTATCATGGCTTCACCACAAGCACTTGGTGGGGTTATTTGGATTATGAGCAATGGATCACTTTATGATCATCTGCATAACAAAGACAACATTGAGAAGAGTGATAACATTTTAAATTCATGGAAAACGAGGATCAAAATTTCACTAGATGCAACAAGAGGGATTGAATACCTCCATAACTATGCAGTGTCACCTATAATTCATCGAGACATTAAGTCGTCGAACATACTATCGGATGCAGTTTTGAGGTGGTATTGTTAGAGCTCTTGACAGGAAGAAAAGCTGTTTTTAGAAATGAAGAAGATGAGACTGGGCCAATAGGAGTGGTTGAGTATGCAATCCCAAGGTTATCAGCAGGGGATCTTTTGACAGTGGTAGATCGAAGAGTTAGGGTACCGGAGATTCACGAGGCTGAGGCAGTGGAGCTGATGGCCTATACAACTATGCAATGTGTGAATTTGGAAAGAAAATAGAGGCCTAATATGATTGACATTGCCGCACATTTGGAGAAATCATTATCATTTTACCGGGACAGCCGTGCTAGTGTCTCTCCTCTAGAACAATTTTCATTCCTTCATAATGAGTTTCTGGAAGAGTTCATTCTTTTTATTATTATTTTAAATCTAAATAAAAGATTGAAAGTGGAAAATGCGTTTTTCTATCGACAACAAGCGTATCTCATGAGCAGCAATAGCCTGGGATGTCTCCACTCAACAATGAGAATTACGTCATGTGTGTGATAAGAGGAGAAGAAGAAAAGTGAAGAAAAAGAAAGTGAAGAGAAAGAAAGAAGAAGAAAAGTGAAGAAAAAAAAGCTGGAGAATGGGTTAAAGGAGAAGAAGAGCCAGTTAAAATGGCGGTCAACGATCCACGTCAGCAGATAACAGTCCAGCTGTATTTTTCGTCACGCTTCTTAATGGCTGTTAACGACTAGTGACCATTTTGTCACAAACTGTTGAAAACATTTTGATATTTTGATATAACAAATTAAGTTAAATTAATTTTAAGATTTTCCAAATGATTTTCTAAGTATATTCGATATAACTATTCGAATATCAAAACATTACTCCAAATCTTTCAAAAATCATTTTTAATCCTTACTCAAGTGTAAAATTAAGTTTTAATCTTAAAACAATTTCAAAATAATTTTACAAACTATTTCGAACCATTTCAAAGCCAAAAATTCCAGATTGCTCAGAGGGAACCGATTCCCCCCAAGGGGGTACCGATTCCCCCTGAATGGTTTGGCTCCGAGAATTCCAGTATGCTCGGAGGGAATCGATTCCCCCCCAGGGGGTACCGATTCCCCCTTGTATAACGGTCGAAATATTTGAATTTTACACTTAGGGAACCGATTCCCCATAGGGGGTACCGATTCCCCCCACGCTCCAAGTTGTTTTATTAATTGTTTTCATACTAAAACGGTTATAATATATTCTCTAATCATCCCCAACGTTCAGAAGTGATTCAAGGTATATTTAAGCAAGCTTAGAAGCCATTGATCAATAACAAGAAACATCAAGCAATTAGAATCAAGAGAGAATCAAAGAGAAAGCATCAAACCTCAAGTTTGAGCATTTCAAGCCTATTTTTCATTCAATATTATTTTGCTTTCAAGAACACTTATTGTGCTCGATTGTATTTATTCTTGAGTGTTATTTCTTTGTTCTAGAATTGTGCAAACATATTTGCCTTGTGAGGTTTTTCTTGTAAGTTTGCAAATTTGTATTTCTCTTTGAGAAAAGAGTGTTCTCAAGAATTGGGGTATATTCTTGAGGGAGTTGTAAGGTTATCTCTTTGGCCTCAAAAGAAAGAACAAATTAGTGAATTTGTTGGAAAATCCTTAGTGTGGATAGCTAAGGTAGTGGACGTAGACTTTGGTTGATAAAGTCGAACCACTCTAAATCGCTGTGCAATTTCTTTCAATTTTCTGCAAAAGCTTCCACCAAAATTTTTATTGCCAATTCACCCCCCTCTTGGCCGATTCAGTCAATCGATTAACTCAACACAAACGATAACGTTAGTGGCCTATTTGTAACTTTTGAAACATTAGTGGTGAAAACGAAAACTTACCTAAACATCAGTGATCATTGGCGTAGTTTGCCATATTTTAAATTTGATAAGACTTAAACTACCTATAAACTATGTTGAGAAACTCACAACAAGAATAATAAAAGAGTATTCTTATTATATGAGTTTCAATAATACAACAATGACATGCTTATATAGGTAAAACTATAACCATCTACTAGCCTAGATGGCAAGCTTAACAGCTTTTAGTAACAACTTTAACAAACTTAATAAGTTTTCAGCTGCACAGCAACTATAGTAATTGCATAGCAGTGAACAACAACCTACATCTCTAACATTCTCCTTACTCTTTTCCTTCTTCTTGACCAAATGAGAAAACATGTACTTTGGATCGAAACTGGTCAAACGAAGATTTGGACAACGATTTAGTAAACCCATCAGCAACTTGATGACTAACTGGAACATAGTTGACAAGCACCTGTTTAGAAACAAATTTTTCCCTCACAAAATGCACATCCAGATCTACGTGCTTAGCCTTTGCATGGTACATTGGATTGCTACTCATGGAAACAACACCACTATTATTGCACCAAAAGACTGGTACAGACTGCTATGTAAGCCCCATATCTGAAAAAAGTACGCTAACCCAAGTTACCTCAGTTGTTGCATCCGCCACACTACGATACTCTGCCTCCATGGTGGATCTGGAAATAGACTTTTGTTTCTTGAAGGTCCAGGACACAAGGTTATCGCCTACAAAGACATAATATCCTGAAGTCAATTTTCTATCAGTAGGACTACCACCCCATTCTGCATCAGCAAATGTTGTTACCCCTCACATCCATACCATAAGGAGACAACATCAATCCATAATCAAGTGTTCCAACAAGATAGCGAAGAATATGTTTTACAGCAAGAAGATGGCCCTGACACGGGGCATGCATGTACTGGGCAACTTTATTTACACTGAAGGTGATATCTGGTCTAGTGTGGCAAGCATACAACAATGCTCTAACAAGACTGTGATATTCCTTAGCATCATAGAGCAGGTCACCAACATCCTGTTGCAGCTTGGTTAGTGTCATAGGTGTTACCATAAAACTGGTTGTACCCATATTAGTTTTCATCAACAGCTTAAGTATAAACTTGTGTTGGCTTAGAAAAAAAAGATTCACCACATTTCTTAACTTCAATAAAAGAAAGTAGCCAAGTTCTCCAAGGTTCTTTAATGAGAATGCAGCACCTAAGTGTCAAACTATATCATCAATCTCGATATCTGAAGCACCAGTAATGACAATATCATCAACATACACTAATATATACATAAAAACACTCGTGTTATTGGGAATAAACAGTGATGTATCAACCCTAGATTCTATAAACCCTAGATGAAGTAGACACTAATTTAATCGAGCAAGCCAATTGCGAGGTGCCTGACGAAGTCCATAAAATGCCTTGTACAGTTTACATACAAACTGACTGCCATCCTCAACATATTATTCAAACCCTGGAGGTTGTTTCATATACACATCCTCATACAGCTCTCCATTTAAAAATGCATTTTTAATATCAACCTGGCGCAACTACCACTGCTGAGCCACATCCAGAGACAAGACGACATGAAGTGTAGCAAACTTAACCATCGGACTAAAGGTCCCAATGAAATCATGTCCTGGGACTTGAGAGAATCCTTTAGCAACTAATAGAGCCTTGTAGCGATGAACCGAACCATCTGGATTAGTTTTCAGTTTAAAAAGCCACTTACACCTTACAACTAAACGTCTAGGGGGTACCTTTACCACAATCCATGTACCATTATACTGTAAAGCATCAAATTCAACATGAACTGCTGTTTTCCAATTGAAAGACTTCAATGCATCATACACATTAACAGGTTCCACTATTGGAAAACTTAACCACTGGACTAAAGGTCCCAATGAAATCATATCCTGGGACTTGAGAGAATCATTTAGAAACCAACAGAGCCTTGTAGCAATGAAACGAACCATTTGGATTAGTTTTCAGTTTAAAAAGCCACTTACACCCTACAACTGACCGTAGGGTGTAACTTTACCACAATCTATGTACCATTACGCTGTAAAGAATCAATTTAGCATGAACTGCTACTTTCCAGTTAGAAGACTTCAATGCATCATACATATTAACGGGTTCCACTGTTGGAAAACTTAACCACTGGACTAAAGGTCCCAATGAAATCATGTCCTGGGACTTGAGAGAATCATTTAGAAACCAACAGAGCCTTGTAGCAATGAACCGAACCATTTGGATTAGTTTTCAGTTTAAAAAGCCACTTACACCCTACAACTGACCGTAGGGTGTAACTTTACCACAATCTATGTACCATTACGCTGTAAAGAATCAAATTTAGCATGAACTGCTACTTTCCAGTTAGAAGACTTCAACGCATCATATACATTAACGAGTTCCACAGTTTCAAAAGTCACTGTAAATGCTTTAGGCTTGAAAATGCCACACTTGCTCCTCGTGAGCATAAGGTGATTATTCAATGCAAGTCCAAGTGTGACTAAATGCTCAGGTATATTGATGGTAGCATCAACAACATGTACGGTTGTCTGGTTATTAGAAGCATGTACTTCATCAGACTCGGCTGCAAACAAACATTCACCAGCCACTCCATGTGCCAACTCATAACACACTGATTCAACCTGCATAGACCCCTGCAGTGCATCACTACACTCAACAACACCCAGTTTAGTCAACGAGAAATAAGGCTGAGCAGTTACTTCCCATAACCTTGAAATATCAGCCACAAATTCTAGTTCAGCTGGCTCATTTGCATGGAAATCAACTGCACCTGCTGTAGGAGACTTGTTAGACAAACTTGCAAATGGAAAAACATATTCTTCAAAAACTACATGACGAGACACATATATTCTCCTACTCGAATTAAGACAAAGATATCCTTTGTGTGACGGTTATAACCTAGAAACGTGCACACTTGAGATCGAAACTCAAGCTTGTGTGTTTGAAACGGTCGTAAATGAGGAAACTTGCAACCAAACACTTTTATTGCAACATAATCTGATTTCTTCCCATGGAGCTGCCCACACGATGATATCCCTCCTAACACTTTAGTTGGTAATCGATTAATAGTATAAACTACAATCATGGCTACATAGAACCAATATTGCACAGGCATAAAGGCTTGAGCAAGCAAAACTAAAGTAAGTTCAATGACATGCCTATGTTTCCTCTCCATAATACCATTATGATCAGAAGTGTAAGGGCAAGTAAAGCGGTGCATAATGTTATCCTGTAGAAAAATCGGGGATAAGCTTTTGTATTCTCCACTCCAATCACTCTGAACTGCTTTAATGGATGCCCTAAACTGATTCGTAATCAGTTTCTGAAACAACCAAAAAATGAAATAGCCTGAGACTTGTTTTACTGGAAATAAATCCAAGTGTGCCTAGAATATGCATCAACAAACGTTAAGTAATGCTTAAAGCCTCTAGAAGCAACATGAGCAGGACCCCAGAGGTCAGTGAACACCAACTCAAATGGAGCATTATAAACAGAAGTAGAAGAAGGAAATAACAACTTATGACTTTTGCCAATGCAGCAGACATCACATTTTCTATTAACATTCGAATGAATTGTTACATTAATGGACTTACAAGCTATTACTAAAGTATTATAACTGACATGACCCAGCTGTCTATGCCATACACTATACAAGCTAGAGTCATGAGCATTAGCAACATTAGCATGCGCTTTATTACAAACATCTGGTGAGAAAACTTCTGAAAACACATATAGAATGTCTTTAACCTTCCCTGTAAGCAGCACCTCAGTCGTAGAGCTATCACGAACATAACATAACATAACATGCATTTAAGTGAAACTCAAAGTAAACTCCATTGTCCCTAGCACACTTAAAACAAAAAGCAAATTGTTCGTTACACTAGTCACATACATAAGATCATTTAAGAACAAATGACGAGAAGAAGAAGGTAATACAACAATACCAACCATATTAACCTTTAACAAAACACCATTACACACAACTAAATTACTTGGACCAAAGTGATCAGCATGGGGAGTGACATTTTTAGACTTAGGCGTGACATGGTGTGTGGCACCTGAATCCATCGCCCACTAATTAGAAGCAGAAGCAAGATCTGCATGAGCTGAAGACAACTTATCACGTTTCTTAGCATGACAACAATTACAACCAAAGGTGACACTAACCGCAACATGAGCATTAATTGAATCCTGCTTAGAACGAAACTGATCAACATCATCAGCAACACCAGTGAACATCTTATCAAACATATGCCAACATCTATTAACCATATGCCCAACCTTTCCACAATATTGACACTGGACACGTTGCTTCTCTCGACCACGTCCTCCAGAACGACCACCAGAATAAGATCGGTGCGGTTGAGAATGACCACCACCATCAGGACCGACCATAACACCACGAGCAACATGAGCACTGGAAATATCATTCTCCTCCTGAGCAGCAAACCCAACAAATTATGTTTCAACATCAACAAGCATAATATAAAACTTATCTAAGGGAAGAGAATCTCTACAAGATGTTATGACGACCATCAATGTTTGATAATCCCTTGGAAGCCCTTTGAGAATACTAGCAATATGCTCTACAACAGGAACAGGACTATCACACGATGCCAAGACATCATACACTTCTTTAACCCTAGTAAGGAATATCCGCATGCTATCATCGCCCTTCTTAAGAGACTGCAACTTATAGTGCAATTTCGTAACAGGAGTTGTAGATCTATTAGCAAAAAACTGAAGTACCATACTCCAAATAACAGAAGTTGTTTCAGCACCAACAAATTGAGGCAACAAGTGAGCATTAATGGTAGACAATAGCCAAGAGGCCACAACACTATTTTGAGCAACAAAATCCTCATACGCCTTATTGGAGACCAATACTCCATTATCACTAGTAACCATCTCAGGCAGGGGCTGCATCACACCAATAAACAATCGTTCGAGGCGATGACTCCTTACAGTAAGAAGAACTTGTTGTTTCCATAAGAGGAAGTTCATCTCATCAAGAGCCACATTCACCTTCTTATTGTTGAACATTTTGACACTGCTCGAAGAAGCCTCGAACGTAGCACCACACTAAAGAACAAACGCAGCATCCGGAACACACCCCTTAGTACGCAACCAAGCAAGCTCCATGACCTTTGGCGAAAGATACCATGTTGAGAAACTCACAACAAGTATAATAAAAGAGTATTCTTATTATTTGAGTTTCAACAATACAATGACAAGCTTATATAGATAAAACTATAACCGTCTACTAGCCTAGCTGGAATAACCATCTACTAGCCTAGCTGGCAAGCTTAATAGCTTTTAGTAACAGCTTTAACAAACTTAACAAGTTTTCAACTGCCAACAACTACAGTAACTACACAGCAGTGAACAATAACCTACATCTCTAACAAACTATATAATTAATAGTAAATACAATATTAACAACATGTATTAACATTATTCTATACTATACTTCCCTTCAAGTTAGTGAGTATAGATTGTACAATCCCAACTTGCATGTGAACTCATCGAAACTAGTTCTTAAAAGAGTTTTGGCAAGAACATCGACTAGCTCATTTTTAGTAGGAACAAAGTTAATCATCACTGCACCATTGTTGACCTTCTCTGAGATAAAATACATATCTACCTCTACATGCTTAGTCCTATCATCATCATTGTGAATGAGAATGCTATAGCAGATTGACTGCCGCTCTGCAAATCAAAGCGATCACTGTAATTAGGCTTTAACTCTGTAAGAAGCCTTTGCATCCATAAACCTTTGCAAATACCCGGTACTCTATTTTTGTACTACTTCTAGATAGATTGTTCTTTTTGCTTAGCCAAGTAACCCCACAAAATCTCATCCAACATCTTCTCTTCCAAGATAACCTCAAAGATAATCTTATTGCCACATTACTAACGTTAGTATTTTACAAACCATACAATCGAAGTTATTTTAAAAAAGGAAAAGCTTTGCGAGTAGCAGAAAATACACCAAATGAATTATTTTTAGACGAGATAATATCTAAAGTCTTCTTGCATATATCAATTGTTATATTATGTGATTTTGACAATTGTACTTTCAGTCTTTATGATTACAATAATAATGGAGGAATTTTACATAGTGTCTTCGTTAATCTTCCGCAAAACCTTTATACAAAGATTTATAGGCATAATTGACATAATATCACTATTGGTATCCATCATCAACTTTAAATTTGTCGCTATTTTTCTTAGACCATACTTAAGAACAAAACAATTTAATTTTGTCTCAATTCTCACTCCCATTAACAACCACCAATGGTAAAATTTGTACATATCTAAAAAAGAAAAAATATCATTAATTTTATATTATACATGATTTTAATGTAAAATATTAGCTATTGTAATTTTCCAACGAGACTATTAAACATCATTAACCTCCAAATAGTCAAGCAAACTATCATAAGCCTCTAGGAACAAGTAACGAGCAGCAAAATTAATAAATAATACTTTAGTTTTGTTACATCTTTACTACCCTATGGTGTGAAAACAAAAGATTTCACATCAATAGAGTAGTAGATAATTTTCAAAAATAATCTCGTACTAGGTGTCAAATATTCCGTCATACATTAGAATGTTATGTTGTTACTACCAATAAAATCATTTTCTATTAAATTAACTACACTATGTAGAATTTAAACACCGTGACGGTAATAAGAATTTTCTAAAACATGACCTGAAAATTCTGAATCTTTTATCCTTTTGTTAAGTTCCTTTTAAAAGAAATAAGATGATCTTTCATTGCACAATCTTAAAGCCATAAACAAATGAAGTGGTTGATCTCGTACTATTAACCATAGAGAAATGAATAAATTCTTTATTTATAAAGATATTTGATTTTCTCCTTATTAAGATAAAGTCGACACTATGACGCAACATTATTAATTTCACAATTTAAAATCTA